ATTTACAGAATGATTGGACAAACAATGCCTGAGAATTCTGCTTAACATTGATGGGACGGAGAGCACGTTGGAACAATAGACGGGCGTGTACAACGTATAGTTATTGAACACATGACTGCTACAATATGTAGCACGTGAGTTACAGATGGAATTCAATATTTTAAATAATTGTATAAAAAGAAATTTAATAGTTTTCTAATAATATTAGAATAAAAATCGCACGAAAAAATAATACGACTAGTGATTTATTATTTAGATACGAAGACAAGAATCTTATTGATTTAATACTCGTACGTATTGACTACAAAGAAAATTACTAGATGGTGGGTGGTAGTTACTCTTTTTCTGGCTTGGGAGTCCATCTAGGTACTCTCTTACCTATTAGTGTCGCCAAATATCAGTGCTGTGTTCAATTCTGAAGGGTATAGATAGTCAACATAATTACAAGCTGTGAGGTATTCTGTCTTCCACGCATTTGTACCCTTCTTTGCTTGGAGTTAGTTGCAGGTGTTTATGGACTCACCACTTACCATCAATTAGTGTATTTGTTTGTCACTATTAAATAAAATATCTGAACAAAAAAGTACGTTAATCTATTTATTTTTATTATTTTATTATGTGTATTCAGCATGCATTTGAAGCGATATTATCTTTGTGTTCAATCCTCTTTAAATTAGTGTTCGTTTAGTCAGATTTGCAGCACAAGGCGTCGAGACGTTGCGGCCAATAAACTTAGTGCGTTGGTGAAGCATTATACATTATATGGGGTCAAAGATAAAGTCTGAATTGGCTTGTATAATACTCACGAGTTCAAATGTAACAGCCATTTAAGTCGCTACAGAATTGGATCTGATTTTCAATTTGGTGACCCAAGTTCATAACATCATACTTTATTTAATGTCTTTCTAATGTTATTTAATTATGACAAAAGAGTTTATGATTATAAAGAACCAGAATTCGCTGTGTTTTATTTTAAATACCTGGAAAAAGTACTTTATGTCGTTGTCAGCTTTTTAAGGTAAAAAGTCAACAAAATATTACAAAATCAAAGATATATTGTCCCTCGTTTTAACTAACACTTTACAGATATTCAAATGTAATAAGTGTAAGTGAATAGATAGTATAACTTTAATTTCACGTTGATTAGGTATGGAGTACCTACCTAAACAAAAATCAATATGCGACTAACAGAAAGGATTCTTAAATTCTTATAATATAATTACCATTGCAAAATACCTCTCCCCTTGCAAGTAACATTTAAATTTTTATGACGTAAATTTCTCGGAGCTGATTGAAAATTGGGAGTGCAGTAGCGCGAACAGTCGCGGTCGTCAGTTGGAGGGCCGTAAAAGGAGAACGCAACTTCGCACGTAGTTGCAAAACAAAGCTTGCCGAACTCGATTCTGAGTCATGAGGCGAGTAAACGCAACAAGACACTTGTGAGCTTTAGCCTAAATAAAAAAAAATAATTACAGCCAACATCAATAAAATAAACAACATTATTTTTCAATTTGATAGCTATTATGTTATTCGATACAATTGACAAAATTAAACAAAATTTAATCTCCATTTTTATCTAAGATAATATGTTACATTAACACAATGTGGGAGCTGTTTTACAAGAAAATATTTTTTTTAAAAGAAGAAGGGATTCATAATATAAATTATTGGAAATAGTTGTGAGAAAAATTTGCAGAGTAGAAAGTATAATTATCTTAATAAGAGCAGAAGTAAGTTGTACAGTTTGAGTTTGAATTTTCTAAACCCAATTCTATATATTATAGTATACGGACATTTGAGTTTTGAGTTACTGATAAAATTATTTTGATATTTATACAGACAAAATGCATGACATACCCAAGTCTTCAGTTTCATTGACTTCTAACAGGAAGGCGCCGCAAACCCCCACACTTTTTTATTATATATGTTTATATTTCTTTTTGTATATCTATTAAGAGATCTGTAATAATAAAATAAAGTCTGTGAACCTGTGCAAATAAATTGCTTTTATAACTATTTTTTAAAAGCTCTTGATTATATTTTGGGAGATTTCAAACAGGGATTTAGTGAAATGGAACGTTAATTTTTTTTTATATTTATAGTTCTAATAAATTGATTGACTTTACACAAGCGACGTCAATTTCAGTTACGTTGGCTATAGTTTAAAACTTAAAAGAACGTGAACAAGCAAAAGTTTTAGTAGAGTTTCAACTATTTAGAAATTATAGCTACCAAAGTGAACATCCAATTGGCTTCGGTCGGTTTGTCTGCATGTTTATTTTTATTTAGCGTGGCGCATGTGAGAGCGGACGTATCATCTTTATCTTTTTGTAGTTTTGTCTGACTCTCCGAGATCCATATACGAATTGGACCCGAATATTTAAATGTCTTGCAACATTATTCAATAATAATGATTATGAATAATTTTACATTTAACCGCGTTGTAACAATGTATTCACTCTCTTATAAAATCACTTTAACAGCCAATTTTTTATACAGCTTTAGAAACGGAAGGTTTATCATGTCGGCGTGAAAATATATTTTATAATAATAGGTATATTGAGGACGAGAGTGCAATATACAAACTTTATGTCCTAATGTAGACCTCACCCTAGACACGACGTTTTTTGCTAACTAACGAACGAAATGCTGTGGAAATACTGTCAAAAATTCCTAACTGAAATTATACAAACGAGTACGTAGCATGATCCTGCGAGAGTAATGACTCTGCGCTTAAAAATCCGCTATCCACAGTGTGGGCAATTCTATCAAGAACTGACGCCATCTTAAAAAAAGGCACACATTTAACATGAAAAATATTTGGAAAAGGGGAAAAAGCAAATATTTAGGCCCCATTTCGAAGTTAGCGAAGTGATGCTGATTTTTTTTTTATCTAACGGTAAAGTATACTTTCACGTCGTCTCATATATTTAATTTAAGCAAAAAATCGTCTGCGATAACTGCTTAATATCCATTAAAAATATTTTATTTACAGTATATTGTTTATGTAACATTTAATTTATCGTTAGATACTAGCCAGGGCAATGTACTTACACAAAACATTACATAAGAAAAATTACAGTGTTAAGTGTATATACGAGGAAACAAAAAATGAATAATTTTATTTATTTGTGGCGAATTATAATACCATTACTAGTCCCCGTTTTTATTAAATGTGGAGCATTATAATACCATTACTAGACCCCTTTTTCATAAGTTGAGAACGAGTGGGGGCAAGATGCACTTACCGAATAACGAGAAACAATTGTGATTCAGTGCGCTATCTATTGGTTATGAGTAAGAGAGTCGATAACAGCTATCAGCCAAACGCAGAGTCAACACATATCGACATTAAAATATGAACAGATAACATCTAATTTAAGCTTTTGAAATATTTACCGCTTAGTTGACGTGTAATACAATACAGACTACAAGAATCCAAATAAAAATAGAATAGGAAACGCGATACGATTATGAAACAATTATTGAGCTGTATATTAGATGTAATTTTGTTCCTCAAATTACAGCCTACCAAATTTTACTGCTGAATACAGGCATACACATACTAGATTGTCTCAAAATATTTACTGACATGGGATACACAGTGAAAATAATAGTTTAAAATCATCTCAGGGGTACCTCGTTTAGAGCCGGAGCGGTATCAGAGGCAGCTGAACTGAGTAAGTGGCGCAAATATGAGTCTCTGAGAGATGACTACATATTTTTGTGCCATTTGCTGTAGAGACTATCGGTCCGTGGGGTCCATGTGCGACGAACTTTATCCACGGCTGACCGTTGCTGCTGGTTCATTTCTCGCTCAAAGGTTAAGTTCAGCGGGGAAACGCAGTCAGCGTTCTTGACACGATACCGCGGGGAGTAGGACTGTATTATAATTATGTTACTAGTTTTAGTTTTTCTTTATTATAGTGTTTAAAGTCATTAATTTTAAATTTCCTAATTTTAAGGGAAGTTAAATTCATTCCATTTTCGTTGAAATGGGTAAACTATTATTTTTTGTTTGTCCTTCAAGCCTAACTTTATGAAATAGGTGTGTCGTCATTATTCACTTTCCCCACTTGTAGCTCTCGCTCTAATTCAATCAGCAACCCGTATCCGTTGCCCTCTGCTCACGAGGACCACCGGGACGCAACTATCACACTATATGAATGACGAATTTAACAATTTCTTTTTAATTGTTAAAACGCAATCTGCTGTACAAATACCATATATATATATATATATATATATATATATATATATATATATATATATATATATATATATATATATATATATATATATTTATACAAATGTTATACAACTGTATGTGGAGACATAACAAGTTATAATGTACCAGACGCACAAATTTGTGTAAAATTTTTGTTTTAAGGAAATGAAAATATCTGTGCAAAATACGAATAATGATTATATAAAGTTGTATTTTTTATACTTTTGCTTTATAAAATAATCTTATAAAAACTTCTTAAATAAAAAATTATTTAAGTTACAAGTTGCAACATATTATTACATCAAGAACTAATATTGCTTTGAAACAATAAATAATGTTATTTCCGTCCTCGTTAATCTAGCACTTCGATATGTAAGTAGAGACCGTTTTCTAGCGAATGAATCGGAGTTTAGCTTACTGGCTAACATTTAGTCATTTGCTATAACAAAAACATGGGCGATAACGTTCTTAATATAATAATACTTGTTTAACAAACGTATCGTGATGAGTAATACATTTTAACAGCTGGTGATCATTGTTTAAAAGTGGATCAGGAGGCATTTTATATTCAATAATTAAAATTTCATTCAAAAATAAATATTAGTAGCTTCAAATTTATAAATATGTTTAATAATATTGATTTTTGAAGTAAGAAATCAGGACATTAAAAATAATAAAAAATTAAACTACATTTTGTTAGCAATTTAAAAAATGTAATAGGTAAGTCTCAATGTTGAGCGATTGTGTGTAACTATGTTTTTTTCAATTTCAGAAACTTGACATATTGGAAGGCGACCTCCCGGAGACGACTTCGACTCTGATTATAACCGGTGCCGAAGCTGTGCTGTTCGGTACCAACTCACTAACCCGACTGAAAGATGCGCGATACATCCAAATCTACGACTCCAAAGTTATACTGATGAGAAAGTATGCCGGCGTACAACTGAGCATAATAAGCCTCTTCCTCGAGATTGACAACTGCGAACTTCTACGCATCGAGGAGAGAACCTTCAGCAGTATAAGAGGTAGGATTGATTGTTTATTGTACTTGGACCTGTTAACGCAACGCGAATATATTTACATTTGCATGGTGTTAGTAGAATTATCCGCTTAGCGTTTTTTTTTAAATAACTATGAATTGTATATGAATTAAAATTTTGTTATCCTACTTTGTAAATAGAAAACATCATTAAGTTTTTACCAATGAACGAAAACTTTACAAACCAGAATTTCTACGTACTCTTTTTAGTGAAATGAGATGCAAAAAATATACGTCATAGGATGAAATTGATTGGTAAATATTGGATTTGTTATATAATGAAATAAAATCTACGTTAAACACAAAGTTATTATGTTATTATAATTAAAATAATTATAATAACATAATAACTTATGAATCTGCATTTACAAAGCAATATCTTTGAATCTCATCAATGCTAAGCTTAATCATTCAGATACCTCGTTACTTTGAACAAAGTCGTTCAAGCTTGCGTGTACGGGAAATGCACTTGACTGTTTAGTATGCTCTGCGCACTCTCGTAATTTGGGCATAGATTTATTGTGTAATCTATGACTACCGACTTCCCTGGTACCTTCGTTAAAGAAACGCGTGAGCCGCCTGCGAAATGTATTCGTTTCGGTGCTATTGATATTTTAATAAATTTCATTGCTATTTGCGAACTAGATTTTATTACATTGTTGAATTTTGTTGAAACATATTGATATTTCTTGCGCATTCGTTACCCTTTTTACATTGAAGGTTTATTTTTCATGAATCCATATTCTGTACCTATGAAAATAATGATCAATTATGCATTTCTCTTAAATTTGAATTGTATAAGAAAGAGCTTGGCCACCTGTAAAAGAAACATGTTATTGCGTACTCGCATACAACCGGTTTGATCAGCTGAGGCAAGCAGGCTAGCCGCCGTCAGCCACCGGATGGACTCGATTATCGGTCGCCGTCTTCCAATCTCAAATAGGTGGACCACGTTTGTTATATTCTTTAAATAAGTGACAAACTTAAATAGAAAGAGAATTGTTGGCTATGAAAACAATAAACCTCCAAATATGTGCTATGTTAATAAATTCTCTATTAAATCGCGATTATTAATACTATGTTTAGAAGTGCTATTTATATTTATTTATAACTTTTATCTTATTATAATTGGAAAACGAAATGAAACATATTGAATAAAATATATAAAATAATACTTAAGAGAGAAAGAATTCTGTGACGCGGTTCTTTTCGATTCTACAACAAATATGTTATAATGTTGAAATTATCGAAAGTTTTCATTGTATGATCGATAAATAAAACGATTTATTAATTCGCTATATTCAGTTACAATGTAATTTTAGAACTGAAATAAAAATACTAATAACGCTCTTGTTAATTAATTCTATTACGCTTTATGTTTTTGCCACAAATGTTCCAAAACCGGCTATTTTATCATGTCTACTAGTATTACTCATAAAATAAAACCATTCAACGAGTTTTTCCAATACTTTATATATTAAAAAGTCTGACAAAAATTACAATCGTGTAGCATGCTGGAACACTTCCGCTACTCAATCGCAAGTTAACTTTTAAATTAGTTTTTAGTTTTGCGGATCTTTGTTAATTTTTTAATGTAATCTGACATAGTATCAATCAATTTCCGAGTCTTCTATAATATTAGTGTCAAATGAGCTAACAGCCTAACTGATATTACGTGGCTATTGTTACCCACATACATCGTCCACAAGCGACGTATGAAACAAAAAAAGTCTACCAATGCGTTATCGCCCCTGAAGGCGGAAATGCAACGATTCAATGCCTTTAACTATACTGACTCTCTTACCCATCCAACTGTTACACAGCAGGGGATCCACATTTGTTTGGCGGCAGAAATATGGAGTAGGTTAATAGGTAGCCACGCAAGTTTAGAGCTCTATCATTTAGTAAAAATGGTCTTATAATATTAGCTTTATAACCAATATAATATACATATTTCCATATAAGTTATGTGTTTATCACTTCGTACCTTGGGTTTCATTAGGAGCGTCAATGAGAAATTCGAGAAAGACCTTCCATCATGATTACGATAGACACACAAAATATCCAGACGAGTAGGAGTATCAAAGGTGCGAGGACGCCTTGCGTTACGATCATCAATTCAGCTGGGTAACGATTATGACGAAATCTCCTTACAAAGGGAGAGGCACATGTCCAGCAGTAGACATCTGCAGGCCTTTAATGAAGAAGATTGAAATCGAATCCAAGAGATTTTTAAACTTATTAATAAATAAAAGCGATTTTCCGGAATGCAAATCTATTGTTGTGTTACCCGCATAATATATGTTATCCGATACGAGCTCCATATTTTGCTCTCTAATGAGAAGGGTTAGAACGTCATCTCACAAAAAATGAAGGCAGTAACAGATAATTCCATAGAGCTCTTAATAACTTTGTATTCGATACGCTTTCCAAATAATTAATCAATATCAAAAACGGGAAATTTCTATAGTTATTCGACGCGTATTTTTTAAGTATTATCACCGATTTCACGAATAAGAGCTAACCCGATATTAATGACTCTTCCTTTGTTGAATAGGTTACACGTTTGGAGAAGTTTCCCATATAGATTTTAAGAAATATTAACCCCTAAAAGTGAGGAAAACAGGGGATGAAATTTTTAATGAAATCTATTTAGACAACTATATAAAACTTAATATTCCTTATTCTACTCAAAAGGGTAAAATAAACAAACTCTAAAAAAAGTAAAAACCGTCATCAAAAACAAAAGCTTCTAAAGTTGGTGTTTTAATTCTATAAGGAGCTACGAGAGGTGTCCGTCGTTTAGTTTTTGAAGTCATTGATATATACTTTCTTAAAAGTTTTATTACGATATAGTTAAACTGGTTGAGAACCAAAAGTCTATCATGTCTTTAAATTTTTATAGGGGTGTTCAATGACAGGTGACATTATTACATGCATATTATATTGCCTGGAAAATTTTCGGCGTGACTTTTAATCTGTTATATTCATCAAATTAAGCGTACACTCAACACGTCTTTATAAACTAAACTTATAGATACATTTATTTAATACTCTACACTGCTAATACACGTGAAGATAATAGTCATGGTATGACATACATAAGCACCTAAAAGAAAAACAAATTACCGTCTTTGATAACGGAAAGATGTTCAAAACAAAACATTGTGCAACCGTTTATATAACATAATAATATATAAACAGCACAGTCGCTTTAATATGTCACTAGTCAGTAGACACTAGACACCTTATTAAGCTTCAGCACAGCGGCATCGGTAGCACATGTGCACCGATGCTGTATCGTGACGCACGTAACGCACAATAAAACTAAAGAGGGATGTCTCGTTTTAGTACTTTAAGCTTCCGCACCTATCACATCACAAAAAGTCTAAAGGTCAACTTTAAACTATTAATAACACCATATTTCCTACAGGAACATCACATTTAAAACATTTCGCACTTATTGTACCTTATTCTGATCCAAACTGTTCAAATCTATTCTATAAACATTTTAGTTTTCAAGTAACCGTCACCGTGACAGCCTATTAAAGTCCACTGCGGAACATAAGTTTACCCCATACATTGCCTCAGAGGGGGGGGGGGGGGGGGGGGAATTTGCATTGTTGCCACGCCTGGCAAGTGGATTGAAAACCCCAATTTATTTTAGTCTAGTTTTAGTGGATATTATTTCACAGGCACTACACGTAGACAAACAATAGTAAGTAAAAAAGTTATGATCATATGTTGTGTTACTTGAGAGAAAGGAATGATTAAATGAAATAAAAAGTATAGTAACAGCCTATATACATCTCACAGCTGGGCAAAGGCATTTCCGAAATTATTTAGGAGAAGGGACTAAGCTAGACAATATGTCCTTGATATTTATCTTTAACGATAACTTTTTCATTTATCACAGAAAATTCGGTAAATTATCTCCTGAAATTGCAATTAACATTGTTATTGCCTCAAGCGTGGATCGAACTCTGGTTGTTCGGGTGCTAAGAAAAATACACTAGTAATACAGGTTCCCTGTCCGCGGAACATACACAATATAGTTGAACAATTGAAATGTTCATATATGATTCATGGGATAGGGACCAGTTTAATTCGACGATTTTACGAAAAATTTAAAAGGTTAAAAAGTTACATAAGATTTAAAATTATACGACTACACTGATGGAATATTCTAAAATATCATTTTACAACAATTTTGTTGCAATTACTATTTTTTAGCTTAACTAGTCAATAGTTATAACATCGCAACTTTGTCCGGAATGCTGTTAATATCGAAGCATCTCTCATCACATTATAGCGCAGAGCGTGGTATATCCGTAAACAACCGGACACTAACCTGAATCCGTACGGTTAGCTTCGAATCCCGAAATATAACAACAGATGCAGTTTACTGTATAATATTTATTTTATTAATTTCTGAACTAAAATCATACTTAACTCATGTTTTAGTTATCATAGAGATAAGAAATCATTTGCAATTTCAAATATTCACGGTCATTAGAGTTTTGACGTCTTCTACTATTAGCAAAGTAAACACTATGTTTTACAAAATAACAAGATGAAACATAATTTGAAGAAAAAAAATAAGCGACAGTAGCTTATGGGCGCGGACCGCTTACTCAAAGGTCGTGGGTACGAATCCGCCATTCGACTACTGTCGTGAACTACTCCTAACACAAGCATTTTAAGTTCATGAGGAGAGGTTAAAAGAAATATTAGTAATGTTAACTAATAGGAATACTAGTATTTTTTTATAACAAAAATAATAATAATAATAATTGACCTTAATTTTTACATGTAATGCAATTTTATCAAAGCTCCTGTCCTGTGTAATTATGAAAGGTTTCAATTAAGTACACCTCTTGCCAGAGTAATTTCATTTTGATATAACTTCTGTAACTTCTAGGTGTTTGAAACAAAAGAGAATAGAGAATAGTTAAAAGAGAACAGTTTGTAGCGCACGGGTTATTTTTATTAAAAATACTTTTTGATATCAATATATTTATTTCCGTATTGATCCCGTTTATTAAAGTAATTAAGAGGTAACTATTTTTCCGTAATTTAACACAACTTATTATTTTTCCTTTAACCATTACAGCGCCGGTTCTAGAGGAATTTTGATCAAAACAAGTCAGTATCGGTGCACCACAGGCCCAAAATCAAATAATTTCAAACAATGATAATATTGAAATGAAATCACTTTAACTATATTTTTATTTTGTAATATTTTACGGAATTTACTTTTTTTATATCTTAACATATAGTGTTTCTTTATTGACATGATGGTAATTAGCTGCTGCAGGCCAGGGCACTTGCACCAACTTTGAACAAAGAAAGCTACAGATGCGTTGTTACCTCTGAGCTCTGACGACTTAAATGGAATGCCTCTTCGCCTGTAACTATTCTGGCCCTCCAAATCTTTCAGAATGGAACACAGGAGTGCAGGCGCTGCTATTTGGCGTCAGAAATCGATAAGGAAGCGGTACCCATCAAGACCAATTCCCAGGCAGAAAAAGGGTCGTACTACCTAGTATATAATATATTAAACATAATTAATCGTTCAAAGTGAAAAAATTCAAATGCGACCAATGTTAAATATAACATAAAAGTTTGCACCAAACACATAAATACGTGTTAGTTTTTATTTTGTATAATTTTATTTACTTTTTCCTTCTTTTTTCTATGTTGTAAACTATGTATGTGATAAATCCACTCGTACATAATAAAATCATTAAGTTCTATATAAATGGGAAGACTGGTCTCCACGATACAGGGAATCCTAGTGTGGAGCCCAGTGATACTGTTTGAAATTATAAAATAATAAAATATGAGACTTATAAAATATGTAACATAACAGTAACTAAGTCAATATCTGTATATTTTTTGAACGGAATAAATATTCCTTATTTCTTATTTTTACGGCCTTTGTCACGAAAAACGCGAAAGATAAAATGCGCGTATCAATAACTCAAAGCAATCGCAACTTTGCTAAGCAAAGTTTGCATGCACTTCGCACTCTACTGTTGACAATGTGAACTTTATGAGTTTATGACTAATTCTAAGCTATTTGTGTCCTTGCTAACTACTCGCAGGTATTTTAACGAGTACATACAAGATCAAATACAGAGTTAAAATAATTTCACATATCTGAATATAATATTTAAAACAATTAATAAAAAAATTATAATAATGCTTTTATTAAACCTTCCGCAATGTAATTAAACTAATTTTATAATTATGTACAGTATTGTAGTATATTGTATAGTACCTAATTTGTATATTGTATAGTATGTACAGGCTACTTGCAACAGGCGTATAATTGTCAATTGACATTTACGGCAGGGGTCATATTCAATACCTGTTTGTTTAATTCTATCGCTTTTCTTGATTGGCACTAACTCGGCTCCTATTCAGCACACTTGTTTCTTAATGTCAGCTGATGTCAATCGGGAAATAGTAAAGACGCGAAACTCGCACCTTACCCGCCTATACCCATTTGTACGAACTTACACACCGTTGTAAAATGTTTCGGCCATTAATTCTAGGGTAGCGTTACATAACACAACAGCCAGTATAAGATAGCGGCATGATGAATATTTGTCAAACAATAATAATTTTCATGGCCGATTTGAATAATTAAAAGTACTACCAAGATAGATATCTCATCAATTCCATTTCAAATCGAGGACATCTACGGGTAGCCGCCAACGGGGCAGCGAGCGGCCGTCCGCAGATCGCCATCTAAAAATATACGTTTCCCCGAGTCGGTATTCGTGTTTTACAGGATAATGACTCATGAGACGCGAAGGGAACACATTACAAAGCGTGAATATATCGTAGACAATAGACGCATTTCGGTCATTAATTGTAGTATATTTGCTTTCCATATGATCGATACGATACTTGTTTTATTTCACTATCATTACAAAACAAATCCAACTTTTAAATGTGTCACAGCTCATCTTAACGATAGACCTCTATAACATGCTTATATTACCTATAGAACATTTTTTGTTTTAACCAAAACAAAAACCTAACAATGAACAAATAACATAATGTGGTATTTCACACATTTCAGGTCCACTTTCGGTGTCAATCAAGAACTGCGACTTTGTTTCCTTGGAAGGAGAGGCGTTCTCCTGGCTTCTTTCGATGGATATAAGCAATATACGCAAACTGCAACTGGGTCCACGTTCATTTATGCTGGATCCAACAGCCGCCAACGTCGGTGTACACGGCCCCGGAATGACGGTTAGTATATATAACACAATTTAGGCAAAGCACCTCTGCTAGCGGCGAAATAAATTGCTAAGCGAGTTATATGAATATAGAAATAAAGTCACATTGGAAATAAAGATATTTTTCTTTTCAGGTCGAATTAAAGAACGTGACGGTCCCAGAAATACCCGAACAAACTTTTGGTTCCTCGGCAGCACTTATCAAAATGGAATCGGTTGATGCACGCGTAATCCGTTTGGGAGCTTTTCCTGCCAACACATACAACGTTGTTGTGGCAATAAACTGTTCCTTTCACCTCATTGAAGGAGAATCGTTTGCACATAAGTCGTTGATAAAAAGCCTTCAGTTCTACGGCTGCAGAGTTCATCAATTTGCTTCTAATGCATTGCAATCAGCAGTGGCAAGACTCAATATTTCACATACGTTGTAAGTTTTTCCTTAATTTATATAATAATACAACGCACATGTAGCCTTCTTTGTTTGAAGTTGGTTGCAAGGTGATTATTAAAGGCTAGTTGCCATAAGGTAAACTTTCAGTTTGTACCTTTAATAATAATATAAACATATTAGACAAGTCAATTTTAAGATTAATTTTTATGTCATAGTTTAACTTTATATCCATACATATTATGTTATTTTGATTATTTTCCGTTGCGTTATGTACTTTTATATTTATTTCAGAATGACTAACGTCGAGACGGGCGCAATCAACGCGACTGTAGCAGCAGTCATAATCGAACATAGTGTATTTCACTACTTTCACGAAAAAGGGTTCGTCCTAACTTCATGTAACAAATTTTACATAAACAAAAACTCATTCGATGAGTTACCTCCGTTCTCAATTATCGCACCTGGTTCAACTCCTCACGCACTTTCATTTATCTATAATGAAGTTGAAACACTAAACGAAAATAGTTTAGCGTTTATAGGTCAAGCATACGCCAAGATTGCCCCTAACATACACTACGCTTATAACTACTATGGACACCGTTGTCATTGTAACTTTACTGATTTTATCGGAAAAGCTTTGGGTTTTAAATCTGGAGAACCATTTGAATCCGACAGCTTTTGTACCGTAGACGAAATGTTTGCCCGTTGTTTTAATGTTCCTGAACAGAATATGCAGTTCACAAAATTTAAAAGTAAAGTTTGCACTGATCAGGCCAGTATTGAATGTGAAGCATATCGAAGCAAGGAACAAGGAAAGCCGGTGGAAATAAAAAATCCAAGGTTTCCACACAAACATGTTGAAGAAGAGGGTTTAAGTGATCGGGATAAAAAAGTTATTGGCATTGTCATCGTCACTGCGTTAGGTTGTGTAATCATCGTGATGTTCATAAGTTTAATAAGATGGATGAGACGAAAAGGCTACTGCGTCAGTATAAAAAACATTCTTATCTCCTCAAATTCATCATGCGGTTCTTTTTGTGAAAGAATATGTGGTTTGAATAATGGTTTGGATAACGCACGATCTATTTCTCAACTCTCAGTAAATGAATATTCAGAACGACATCGCTTAAATGAACCACGTGTCCACGACATGATTCAGGAGACTGCGCTTCCTAATATATATCCGGAGGAATTAGTGCCTATGGAAGATAAGATGACGCAAACATTGCCCGAGGAATTAACAAAAGAACTTTTGGAAAATCTCAAAGAAAAGCTTGAGGATCCAGAGAATTACGTCGAGGCCCGGGAGATGATTGAGCACCTGTACGAACTCATCAAAGTTGAGGAAAGCTGCAATACCAACACACCAACTTTAGTCAAGACCGAGGAAAATATTTATGAATTACCATTCCAAAATACTTCTCCACGTATAGGAAAGAACAAAAAGCAGATGATTAGCATCGGTACTCGAACACCATCGCTTGATAAATTATTGCCGCTTTCACCTTACAATCGACAAACAGCTTTAGTCCACGAATATTTTGAGCCAAAGGATTTCGCTGTTCACCTGTATGCTGAAATAGCAAATTGCGATAAGGAGAAGAAGGCCTTCCTGGGCGCTATTCCTGACGTTCTTGCCGAACAAGCTGTTCCCCGTGGACCATATTTACGAGCTGTTCGCGATAAAATGAACTCAAGCGCTAGTATCAACTCCTCCCCTAAGTCGATGAACAGCATTGTCCCTAGCCCTCCGCACATTTCAACGATTAAATCGAACAAGTCCACGGCCTCTAACAATTCTGCAAAAATGATTAACCGCCCGCTGCCGAAGAAACCTGCCTTCGATGACCCTGGCGAGGGTACGTCGCTTAAGCACGGTTGATATTCAGCCTGCGGGCGGCCCGCGCCGGAGCACGATGTCTGGGCGGAGAGCGAGCCCTGCAACAGCTCGCGCCGTCATGCTTCGCCCCCGCTGTTCTACACCATTGCTGATGACAATTACTGGGGAGTCGACCCCTGCGCGATGTTTTGAACGCATTCCGAGCGGGTGTACGCGTTCGACGGTGCTTTTTAAGCGTTTCTTTGCTGTGATATTAATTTTGTTTATATTTAATATTAATTATTTGGAGTATCGTAAGATTGTGTCGAGCCAGACGAGGTTGTATTTTTTGTTGTATATAATTTATAAATGTAATTAATTTTATTAGGCATGATTTGACGCATTCTTAAAGAACTTTGTTTGTTAAGCTTTTTTATATTTGCTTTGACTGTGTTCCATGGAAAACACTAGCCGCCGCCGCACAATTTCGAAATTAACGTTACGTATTAATCTATTATATAGAAGTTTAGCTTACTGCATTTAAATGATAACATACCAAAAAAAAGTTACCTGTTTTATGACTATTGAAATGTAAAACACAAAAATATTTGAATGTATGCACTTTTAGTGTTGACACACGTAGGTATCAAGTACATGTTGCAATGTAATTAGATGTACAGATCGACCATATATTTTTACTATTAGCTCTTATTCTTGAAAAGGTTAGTGTTTTTGTAGATTTTCTCATAAAATTAGATATTTAAAAAATATATTTCTCGATGTAAAGGTCCTTTAAATGAAAAACCTATTTACTACTAGTATAATATAGAATCTACAATCATTTAATGTGTATTCAGAGCTTAATTATTTACAAAATTATTGAATTATGCATATTTAATATACCAATACGTTAGCTGGAGATATCTGAAAACTTACTTTTTAAAACATATCCTTGGATTTTTTACAAACTTTCACATCCATTCGGATGTGAAAGTTTTATATCCTTTAGAGATTTGATATATTAAAATATTATGTGTTAGGTCATAACACAATCAACTGCTACGTATTTGTTGTATGTTGATTTCCAACTACCGTATCTTCAAATTATCGGTGTCAACAAGATTAGAACCAAATATTTATAACTTATACCAATAAATAAACCCTACCAATATCACTGGCACTGAATCTGTGAAAAGTACCAAGTGATATGAGGAAAAGTATATATTATTACCTACGATTCGGTGTAATATAGTGTTATATAAATTAATGTTTAAATTTTATGAACTTACGATTTGCTTAAGTCACATATGTATCTCCATTTCAAATTTATATTGAATATTGAATGTCAATAGGTCCGTTTCAGTGTCTAATGTATGGAAGTTGGATTATTCCCTTGATGTTATTTGAAATAAATGTTGAATGTGAATTAATGTATTATTTTGAAGACCGTCTAGGTATTCCTAGACCTAACAGAAAATCTAATAAAACAATCCTCTTAGTTTTTTAGTGAAAAACTATTCATTATTTTTTTGGAAATTGTACATAATGAAGAAATCTATAATTATACAGGGAAGACATTTTATCAACAAAATTTATCAATGGTTGCTAGGAATTAAGATTTGATGAATGAATTTTCCTGTTACAGATGTATGTAACGATAAATATGGGTTTATAACACTGATGTTATAAACACATATTTACTAATAGATACATCTGCATCTGCATCTACACGCATAAGAACGTATGTTTTATTCAAGTGTGCACATTTTGACGCAGCTTATTGCTTCTGATCATGTGCTAGCGCAGATGGACACAGTAAAATAAATTTATAGTCTATATACGTCTTTCTGCTGTACAAAGACCTCAAAATATAATCCTCTCAGATGTCAACGAAATATTTTTTATTTTTCAGACATGCAGGTCACTTTACAAAGTATTTCTTCACCGCCGAACACATGGTAAATTACCACTTACACACAAATTGCAATTAACAATTTCATTAATGGTGGGAATCAAATACGGGTTGCTCGCATACTGTAAAATTTACAAACACATAAACACGTGTCGTGAATAATATTTTAGCATAATACTTGTACAGGTAACATTACCAAAGAAGCTGAAAGAATGCGATATACGATAATTATCTAACATAAAATTTTATTGAATTTATTCGCAGCTAGCGCAGTCTTTGCTTTACAATGCTTACAAGTATTGCTGGAACTGGAACATTCTAGTTAAGTTAATGCAGATTGATGTTGAAAAGTGTTATTTCGACCGATTGCTTGAAACTAAAAATTATAATTTTAGTCGTAATACTCAATCAATTACGATACAATCATCATTATTACATCCTATCAAAGTCCACTGCTGACCATAGGCCTCCCCATAGGTTGTCTCATAACCGCAACCGCACTTTTTTATTTTCTATTTGTTATTAAGGAGACGCTGCTGCCCATCTCCTGGTTTGTTCCGCTCTGTCGCCTTTTACGACACTCACGGGTCGATATGAGTATATGGAGTAGCGGATATTCTAACACCCTCACCGGTTAATGATTCTTCTTTATCTCTAACTACAAGTATTTATGTCCACTGTTGTTATAAATATGCCAAACAGTTATATAATCATTCGCGATTGCCATATGTCTAGGTCTTCATTCATAATAGGAAACACTGTATACTGTATTCTATCTCATACTATCGCATGCTTAATTCTATAGATTTATATGTTTATCTCTTTTTAGTGTCGCATTTTTGTTTCATCGAGTATCAAATCACAACAGTTCTAAAGAAGTTATTGAACGTAAAGCCTTCTTGCACTGATTACCGCGCGGTAGGACTCTTCTTCTGCTTAGCAGTCCATCAGGATAGGTACCACACACTTACCTATCTCTGTCACCAATTAGCAATGCTTGCAATATTGTGTTCCGGTCCAAAAGGTATCTAGAACCAGTATAATTTACAGGCTGCGAGGAATTCTCTCTTAGCTCTAAGAGGTGACAACGCATCTGTAGTCTTGAAGTCTGAAGTTGGTTGCAGGTATTCATGTGCTGCAGTAGCCAATTTACATCAGGTGGGCTGTAAAATCGTTTGTCACTTTAGTTTTATTAAAAAATATATAGTTTATCCTGTTTGTGAGAATTGGGTTTAGCATTTTTGTTTTCAGTTGGTTTTTACGCCACCTCTCATACGGCAGAACCGTTGCGTTATTTACATACATAAATTGCACACGAACAAACAGCCAGACCTGCAGCAATTTTGTCGGCCATGTAAAACTTGTACCGTGAGGGTTGGCCGTTACGATAACGAGCCGTCAGTCATCAAATCGTACCTTTTTTAATCATCAGTAAAAAATGACTTGTAACTCAGCGACTCAGTTGCAGATTATTTTACCAATTACCAATAACTTTTACCTTCGCAGTCATACGCCTAATCATACATAAACATCCAAATACATAAAACAATAACATCTGCCGACACCAAAATAAATTGCCGCTGATTTTAAAAACGAACTAGGTATCTTAATAATCTATAAAGCTCATCCTTTGATATATAATATCAGCTTAGATTATTGATAGGTATTCGCGCGCTCAGACTAGATACTGCCGGCGCTCTTGTAAAATGCGGCAACAAATACCACGCCGAAATCGGCGTACCCGAGTCAGTCGCGTTGCAGGCGGCATGTGATGTCGGCGTACCAAATGTTTTATTAAATTTTGATCATAATCTGAAGTAAAATACCAGTTTGCGTAGTGAAACTGTGTAAAAATAATACTACAAGGAATAAGAAAGACACTGGGATCACATACTATCAGTAAGTATCATACAACTAGCTATGCCCCGCGGTTTCACCCGCGTCATCAAGTGTCAGAGGTGCGCGACATGACCTAGTTCAAGCATTTTATAATTGCAATTAAATATTTGATAGCAATGGATGGAAAAATTGGCTCAATTAATGGAGTACTTTTATCTGTCGACATATTATGTATGATGTAGAGCGAAGTTAAGTTTTATCCACTTTCCCTCCTCCTCCCGGTTGATCATCCTCTACCCCCCATCCCACGTCACAGAAAGTGTCCCGAAGCGCAGTTTTTTACAGTTTTATAGAAAACCGTACCCAATACATGAAAAGTGTGTAGGCATGAAATGATTCTTGAGCTATCAAACTCTTATACTTATTAATCAATTAAATTTTCAAAATACCATTGCAACGTAAAATGAAAGAGATCAGAAATAAAGATGTATCTAATCATTGTCATAAAATACTCAATTAATTTTTAATTTATTTTAACTATAATAATTGAACTAACCTCGCTCTTAGAAGCTTTCTATACTGGCTTGCAGTTCTCACTAGGCTAGGGTTTATGCGTCGTTCGCGCGGCCAGCCAAGTATTGAATTATTTTAATTTTACAGTATCTCTTAAACTATGCGTCCAAATAACATGGTATAAAGAACAAAGTTTATCTTCATAAAATTGTCTTGATGATGAAGTAACTTTCGTTCGTAAGGATAAATAGGCCATGCCTAATAATAACGCTCATAAATCACTTTATTAATTTTCAATATTTTTTTGTCATAAATACCTAATTATGGCTTATGTATAAGAAATAGACATATGGTATCGTGGACTTTTTTTAGACGGAATAAAGATCTACATTTTTCTAGAACATTGTATTTACGTATCCCTAACGATAACACCAGCGTACGCGGATAAATCATTTCGGGAGTGCTTTTTCTTCTGACTTGCTTGACAAATATCCATATTTAAGGCTAGCTGAGTGATATAGCTTAATGCTAGATAGCCTATACTATTCCACATGAATCTGACTATAATATACAAAAATATTTTTTTTTAATCGGACTGGTAGGTCCAGAGATTGGCGCGTTTAAACAAAAAAAATCAAAAAAACTCTTCCGCTTTATTATATTACGAGGGCGGCACTGAAAATTTCGGGAATCAAGGAAGTGACACAACATTACTATTTAAAAATGTATTTATTGTTTTTCGAAGTATTCTCCGCGAAATTTGACACATTTTTCCATACGATGGAACCAATCATTGAAG